ACTGAACTCAAAACATAGCACTGTACCAGCTACTAGGAAGACAATTAACTCTATCCCAGCTGAAACCAGGACACTTTGTAAGAGAACTTTGTTTAGATGTGAATAATTTGTGTATGTGTAAGTTAATTGTGGTCTCTGCTGTGTCATGATTTCAGAGAGCCCAAGCTGCATTGCAAGCTATGAATGCTATGCAGTCTGGAAACATGGCTACTGCAAGTACTCCCGTTGCTGAAGGTGGGCCCCTTCCAAGTCAAGGTTCTGTTCTTCGGGTCATTGTTGAAAATCTTTTCTACCCTGTCACTTTAGACGTGCTGTGTCAGGTAATGAGGATTGCTTAAAAAAAATAGTTAAAGTCTGTTCCAATGTTGCCATTGTAAAGCCATAACCCCCCCCCTTTTTTTTTTTAAGGTACCTGTGCATACTTAATTGCTTGAATGAGGACTGTCACTTTAAAATTATTTGTTGCAGTTTAGGGATCTAAGCTTGAATCAGTTCTGCACAAAAATCAAAGCAAACAGAGCTTCTGTACTCAGCTTTTCATGTTGTCTTTCATTTCTTTAAGTTCCTTGGTTTCTGTGGAAGTAGCAACAAACCTGAGGTGTTATTTCTAATTTTTGCCCACATGATGAGTTAGTGAAATACTGGTTGTTATGAACTTGTGGACCAATATTTTAGTACTCTTTATACTGAGTAACTTTTGTAGTTTAGATTAAATTTTAGGGGTTTATATTCACTTTTATAATTCAGTGCAAGTGATGTACTATACAAGTATAGTTGCTTGGACAAAAGGTTTTGATTGTTCATCAACTATTAGAATGCCATTTACTTTACCTCTGAAAGCCTGGAATAGTTGTGGGCTATAGCTATGAAAGACATTACCATAACTCCCTAGGACTCATGCTATGCTGTTGAGAACTGTAAGTTTAAAACAAAAAAGTCACAAAACTGTGTCTTTGTGACTGAAGGATTTGTCAATACTTCTTTTCAAATATTGCAAGCAGTTCTATACTTGAAGCTTTTGTAATTACTAGTAAATTTGTGCGATAAAAAATATGCCCCAAATATGAGTTTCTCAAATTAATGTGATTTAAAATAATAGGGATGTTTTTACAAGAATGTGCACTCCTGGAAGATTGTTGCTGCTCTACTAGCATATCGCATAATAGCTGATCATTACCAACACTTTATATTTCGTCTTACCTCTTAATATTTCCTCTTTCTCTGTATCTCCCCACCTTGTCACTTGTTGTCACTTTGATGACACTAGTTGTCACTTTGATGTAGCAATTTGCCTGATCTAAACTCTTGTTTGTATCTGTGAGTATTGTTCACTCATTATTGAGCTCGTGCAAATAGTATGTCAACTGTTTAGGATTATTAGTGCACTCAGAATAACCTGAGAACAAACTTTTGTGGTTATGGGAGCTGTACTAGTTTAATATTGCAACAGCAGTTCCTGGATCTAATCTTCTATGGGGTTTTTTGTTTTTTTCTTTTTTTTTTTTTTTTTTTTTTATACTAAGCAGGCAGTGGAAGGAGGTTCATGTTAATTTAATTTGATTAATGTTTACTTCAGTGCAGCAGAGCTATATTTTCAGTCTTTGAATTGCCCAATGGCCTTCACTCAACTACTTTTGCAATAGGTCTAGAAAATTAAGCAATTTTTGAAAAGGGAGCTTATTTGGGGTTCTTACTGGGGGACAATCTGCTCTAATTAAAACAGCATTTTGTGCCTGATGATAGTTACAATGTAACATTACTTTGTAAGTGTGGTAAGGTTAATGAAAATGAAAATATTCACTGATAAGTATAGCATCGTATGGAACACTAGCAGGCAAGCTGTCATCCAAAACTTCAATTATATTTTGTAAATTATAACTGCTTGTCAAGTAACTAGCACTTTCTTTTAGCACAATTCACCTTAAAATATTTATTATAAGAAATAGAATATTCAGTGTTATCTTTGCAGAAACAAAATTTATATACACAGTGGGTTTTAGCTTTAAAACCAAACAAGAATACATTGAATTTCATTATCTTAAAAAGGTCTATTTAGTCTTCTGGATAAACATGGAAAAGCATGTGTTCAGAAGCTGTATTTAGGCCTTTCTTAAGGGGAAGTGCTTTATGAACAGGAACTCAATGGCTAATTTTAAATTGCTGTGAAAAAGGTTTGCGTTCTGTCTTCTACCACAAAACGATGACTGCAGCATAAAAACCTTGTTTCTGAGAGATTGAAAAACTGGGCAGAAAGGGTTAGGACAGTGTGTCTTGCATCCATGATTCTAGGCCTAACAGGCTGGCAAGAAATGCTTGTCCTTACCTCTGGCCTTTCTTTCCATTTCAGGCTTAATACTTGTCTGGGGGTGTCTGCTTTCCTGACTTTGCATCAATTCTAACAGTTTGTTCTAAAACTGCTAGTACTTCCCAAACTCACCTTTCCTCTTCCACTGTTAATTTGGACATAGTTTTTCTGCACTTGCATGATACGTCCTAGCTATACTTTTTTTCCTCATTCTGTGTGGCTTTGCTTTTGTATAGACACCTTCATGTAGTGCACACTCTCGTTTAAACTATGTCTTTGTCTTTCTTCTTTCCTTCTTTTTCTTCTAGTTAGTACAGTGGGTCTGCGTGATTCATTTGTAGGCACATCAACTATTTAAGATGTATTTTTGGTCACCAAATTTGCGGAATTTGTTTGAAGTACAGAATGTAAAGGTGGATACCTTGCAAGGCATTTTGCAGTTCCCATCTCAATTAACTTGTGAAAGTCCATTTCTCAAACCCCAACTTTGATTTTCCACAATTTCTCTGCAGACATTGGACAAATGCCTGTTTGGGCTGGCCTTCCCTGCTCTTAGTTGAACAGCCATTGCTAAAACTTTAAGGAAATTTTCTCCTCCTTCCCCATCTTTTGTAGCCTCTTTTTTAATTTTTATTTTTTTTTACCTGAAATAAAATTCTGAGTTCACTCAATTTCTGTTCAGCTGTCAGAAAAGAAATCATTTTCAGAAATTTATATGAAGTATTAAATGCTAGGTTTTAGTGTGCATGAATTATTCATTGTTTCTGAAAGTCCATGTTTTTTCCTTGTCAGATTTTCTCTAAATTTGGATCTATCTTGAAGATTATCACCTTCACGAAGAACAGTGTGTTCCAAGCTTTGATCCAGTATGCTGATCCAATGAATGCATATTATGCCAAAATGGTAAGTGCAGCCTATTCAGATTGATTTTTTTGTTTTGTTTTGTTTGTGCTTTTTTTTTTCCCCCAGGTAAATGGGGAATATTAGGAATAGCTTGATCATTAACTTTATGACTTCTCATCATTCTAACACACTTGTTGCACGTGAATAACTTTGCCATCCCTCATTAGTTAAGAGGATAGCACTCTATCATCAACTGCAAGCATAAATGCACAAACGTATTTATGTTATGCAAACATAAAAACACAAATATCAGACCTGTCAGTAGTGATGAGTGATGGTAACTAGTCAGCCAAAAAGTCTTTTGCCTTTCAAACTAAATGGAATATTTTCAGTGAGGTTCAATACTAAGAGTAGTGTAGTTAAATGCCCAGAGATTAGATGAATATTCCATGTTTTACTTGTTTGAATTTCAGTGGGAAATTTGTAGTAATCAATGTTTTCACCTTAAACTTCTTAATATCAAATGTCCTGTATCCTGATTTTTACAATGCACATTCTTAGTAATGAAGAAAACCTCACCTACTTTAGGTGTATTTCCTGCAGTGGTTTAACTTTGACTGGGTGCCAGGCACCCACCAAGCTGCTCTCACTTCCCCTCCTCAGCAGGACAGGGGGAGAAAATAAGATGAAAAAGCTCATAGGTCCAGATGAGGACAGGGAGATTGCTCATCAGTTACCATCACAGGCATAACAAGACTCAACTTAGGGAAGATTGATTTAATTTATTGCCAATTAAAAATAGAGTAGGATGGTAAGGAGCAAAAACAAAAGTAAAAACACCTTCCCTACACCCTTGCTCCCTCTTCACAGGCTCAGCTTCACTCGCAACCCTTCTACCTCCTCCCCTGAGTGGCGCAGGGGTACAGGCAATGTGGGTTGTGGTCTTTCCATAACACTGTCTGTGCCTCTCCTTCCTCCTCATGCTGTTCCTGTGCTCCAGTCTGGGTCCTCCCCATGTGATACAGTCCTTCACAAACTACTCCAACGCGGGTCCTTCCCATGGGCTGCAGGTGGATACCTTCTCCGCTGTGGACCTCCGTGGGCTGCAGGGGGACAGCCTGCCTCACTATGATCCTCTCCAGAGGAATCTCTGCTCCGGTGCCCAGACCACCTCCTCCTCCTCCTCCTCCTCTTCCTCCTCCTTCTCTGACCTTGGTGTCTGCAGGGTTGTTTCTTTCACACTTTTCTCACTCCTCTCTCTTCCAGCTGTTGCACAGTGGTTTTTACCTTTTCTTAAACATGTTATCACAGAGGTGCCCCCAGTGTTCTGACTGGCTCTGCTTTGGGCAGCAGCAGATCTGTTTTGGAGCTGGCTGGAACTCACTCTGTCCAGCACGGGGCAGCCCCTGGTCTCTTCCTACAGAGGGGCAGCAGCCCCCCACTACCAAAAGCTTCCTACGTAAACCCAATACGTTTTTTTTTAAAACAACTTTCAGAATTAGTTTCCTTATAATAGCTAAATATTTTAATTTCTAGAAAAAATTGTTATTTTCCTCAGTGCGGAGTAGTTTGATAATTAAATATTGAGGGCTAAGACCTCAAAGATTTTTGCAGAAGGGACAGCAGTGTTACAAATCCTCACATTATAATACTTGAACTGTGAACTAAAAAATAAAGACAGAAGATAAAATACTTCACTTACTTGAAACTAAGCCTGAGACACTTTCTATTTCACTTTAACCTATGTGGACACCTCAATATTAGTAAATAAATAAAATCAGTTTGAAAGTTCCCGTAGAATGTACATAGAAGAATAGATTCCGCTAAGTATTAAGTGGTATTCAGCATTCAGTTTTTTCAAAAAATTACCAAAAGACTAGAGTGAATGGAACTTTTACCCTACTTTTGTTATTGAAGGTGACTTTATTCTCAGCTTCAAAATTAAAGGCACAGAATATTTATCTACTGCTATTTGCACTATAGTCCAGTAAGTAAATTCACTATGTGTTTCAGAGATTAACTATATATTGGAAATTAGTAAAGGTAGTTGGGATTATAGCCTGTGTGTTAGCAATAGCATCTTTTCTTAAAGAACAGTATTAATAATAAATTATACCTTATTTCACAGAAATTATAATTTCAGTCCATATTATATTAAATAATTATAACAAACTAGTATCTTTTGACTGGTTTTTCCGCCTTCATCCATCATGATTCTTTTATGTCTGGTACAGTCAGAAGATACTACTTCAGTGATTTCTCTGAGCATAGCTACTCTTAAAAAGATGGATTTTGTAGAATCATTTAGGTTGGAAAAGATCCTTAAGATCATCAAGTCCAATTGTAAACCTACACTGCTGAGTCCACCACTAAACCATGTCCTAAGTGCCTTTTAAATGTCCACATGCCTTTTAAATACCTCCAGGGATGGTGACTCAACCACTTCCCCGGGCAGCCTGTTCCGTTGCTGGACAACCCTTTTGGTGAAGAAATTTTTCCTAATAGCCAATCTAAACCTCCCCTGGCACAACTTGAGGCCATTTCCTCTTGTCCTATCACTTGTTACTTGGGAGAGGAGACTGACCCCCATCTCGCTACGACCTCCTTTCAGGTAGTTGTAGAGAGCGATAAGGTCTCCCCTCAGCCTCCTTCTCTCCAGGCTAAACAACCCCAGTGCCCTCAGCCACCCCTGATAAGACTTGTGCTCTAGACCCTTCACATGTGAAGGACAGTTCTGTACAATAAAAATCTCCAAGTTAGTATCACTATTAGCATCTGATACCGTGTGTTGAGTTGAGTGGGAGACAAGTAAGATTAGAAGCACAGCTGGAAAGACAAGTCGTACTTAAAGCTATGTTTTGTGCATTGCCACAAGGCGACAATACTTACTAATTAGTGGACTACACTAGTACTCTACACAGGATGTTTAGGTAAGGATAGCGGCAGTATAATTGCCTACTTGGTGTTCAAAAGCAGCACCTTAAAAACGGAAGATGAGTTTCTGATTGGATACAATTGCAGGGTGAAAATAAAATAAACTTACCCACTATGTGTTTTGTCTCTGAAAACTTACTTATTTTTCTTCAGGCTCTGGATGGCCAAAGTATTTACACTGCATGCTGCACTCTGCGTATTGATTTCTCCAAGTTGACTAGCCTTAAGGTAAAGTACAACAATGAGAAAAGCAGAGATTTCACTCGCCTTGACCTTCCTTCTGGTGATAGCCAACTGCCCCTGGAGCCATGCATAGCTCCTCCTGCCTTTGGTAAGAAACCTTCACTTTTAGTGATAAATACACAATAAGATCGTTATGCTTTTTATGTTGCATTTATGCTCTGGCTTCATATTGGGTTCATAGAAGGGTACATTTTGCATACATTTTGGTTTGTTAGGTCCAGTAAAGTTTGTATGGAGAGCAGAAAGTCCTACTCCAGATAAATGAGTATCTGAAATTATAACATGAGGAATGCTTTTGGGCAAAGTCAAAGTGTTGTCAAAACACTACATTTGTAAAATGCTGTGAAATACCATTCATACAGGTAGTATAATAAACATTACATATCAGAACGGTCAATGTCAGTCATTCAAAATGGATGCTGGTTCCCTAAAGCTGCTTGAAAAGAAAAGAAGTGTTTTAAGGGTGTTAGCTCTTGTTCATTGGTATTTTAGGATAACTGCCAGCTGTAAGAAACAAAACTGTAAGAAACTTAGAAATGCTATGCTTATTTCTGTATGTTTTGTAGTCACCTTCTAAAAGATAAAATTTTAGAAATTAGAAAGTCACTTCCATGGCATAGAGGAGACAGTGTCTGCTTGAAGCCACACTGGAGAAGCCTTTTTTGCATAAATAGCTCAGGCATGCTCATTTAATCAACTTTGGTAATAATGCAAATCACCAGACAGATTAATCTGACCTGGCAGAAGTGCTCACAATGCAATTTGAGTGATTTTAGCTACTTTTCTTTCTCTCTAATGACAACCATTAGCAATAATACACAGCTAAGAACTATCTCAGCTGTTGAATAGGTATCTAAGTGCTGTCCAGTTGGTTAGAACAGTAGCAAGGGCTGGGAAAGAGTTCCCTTTTTTCCTTCTTTTTTTTGTGATTGCTAGGGCAGATACTGGGTTTGGTTTGCTCTTTTAGATAGTTGGCTTTGTTGCAGTCACTACTTTCTTAATTGATTTTGCTGGTCCTCTTAAAGGTAGGCCTTGGATCTTTACATAATGTACAACCATTTTTATAATTTTTTTGAGTATTTGCCATACAGCATCATGGAAATGTGCTGTTATAGATCTGATATGTTCTTATTAATTAGACTTACACAATTTGAAATGTCAATAAAAGGGGAAAGTGCAATTAGAGTAGATTAAGGACAAACTTGCTTGTAGGGTAGAGATAACATTGTACACATGCTTTTGGAGGGTAACACATGAACACTTACCCATTTCCTCTCACGTCACTCTTCCAAGCTTGTCATTGTTAGCAATCTCATTTTCAGTGTGAACTTTTACTGTAATAGTAAGAACAGCAGAGGTGCTGGTGTAAAGAAGAGGCTGATGCCTGTATCAAAATTTGTAGTACAGTCATAGTGAAGCAGCTACATAGTTATTTTTCTTTAAAAAAAAAATAGCTGTAGACTGGGAGAAGCATGCTTCTAGCTTTTCTGTCAGTGGTAACAACATGCATATGTTGCCATAGTATGTCCTGATAGTCCTCAGTTGCATGACATGAGGAAAAGATGTTGGGAGTCATGTCAGCACTTACACTTCCTGTGTTATTACTAGTGGACATAGTTTTGATGGAGAATTCTAAGATAAAGCAGGTATCTATCAGAATAATACATGCATTTTTTCTGTAGAGTTGAAGTTATCTTAATAGCAAAACTGAACTGCTCTTGAAACTTGTTATTTCCTCGTTTTTTTTCTTTTTTCTTTTGTTTTGTTTTTGGTGGAAAAGATACTGCACTATAAACAAGCAGATTTTATGAATGTTTTGCATTTAAAGAGTTCCCTCACCTAGTCAGCATAAGCAGAGATACGTGAATTAGCTTGCTTTGAAGGCTAGCTGCCAGCCATGAAGCAAATGATTTTACACATAAAAAAATGCAACAAAGAATTCCAGATCTTTCTGCATTAGCTCTGTTTGACAGTTTTTACATGCCTGACTTTGGTATCAGTTTGCAACATGCAGGTCTTACTTGGCAGAATAAAAGCGCTTTATCTATTTCTTCATTAATGTTTCCATTACCGTTCTTGGATTGTGAATAAGTGATTAATACCTATATTGCCAAAACTTGTCAGTATAATGCACCAGTGCGTGTATTTCAAGAACACAATGACTTGCTTTGGTGTGATAAATGTATTCAGTTGTTTGTATGAAAGACACTTTGTTGCTACAGATAAGAGGAGGTGTAATGTGATGCGGTATTCATGAATACTTGATCTGTGGTGTCTGTTTTATTTGTTGATTTTGTAATTCATAACGGATACTTCTTCTGGTGTTGTATTATCCCTGTCAATAACCGTCTGTTAGTGAATGTAGCTATTTTAATCAATGGTGGAGGTTTGAGTAGTAAAGCAGATATAGTGCCAGGCTTGCAGGATGTATTTGCTGATTATACATGCCCCATTTAAAAAAATCTAGTGTACTAACATATGAAAGAATCCACAACTCAAGCTTGTATCTAACTGCCTCTTAGAACACAAGTTTGTGTGCTGCCCCAGGTAGCACTTAACTCCACATACTAATGTGAAAATCATCTTCGAGGCTGGGACTCTCCATATGCTGGTGTTCCAAATCTGTTTAATGCTTGTGATTGCCAGGAGAACCATAAAAAACACTGGTTATTTATGAAGTAATACAATCTGGGAAAGTACATCTCCTTAAAAAGCAAAATACGTATACTTTATGCATCTCAATAGCTAGTAAAATTCAGAACCTCAGATTCATTGTAGTTGTTGTATTATTTAGCCTGTACTGGTTTTAGAAATGTCTAGGAAATAGTTGTGTCTCATCACTGCAAAATGTCTTTGAGTGTATTTACTTCCAGAAAATGTCTAGAATGCATTTCCATTGTGTGAATAAAAAACATTGAACATTGCACTACAGGTGTCTTAACTTTTAAAGGATACTAATCTATGCTGTGCTTTCCTATTCAAACTTGTCTAAATTACATTTTGCCCTGACTTTGTTTTAGAGAGGGTCATTGAGGCTGATCAGAATATTTGCCTTCAAAAGTGGCTGAAAATTGTCATTGTAGAACATAGAATCTTCGATTTCAATGAGAGTTTTTAACCCAGAAGATTTATAAAAGAGGTAATCGTGGACCAAAGTCAGCGTAGCAACATGGGAAGCTGATTCTCATTGCTGAAATCTCTTCTGTTTTCTAAAAATTTTAAAATCTCTTTTAATTAGGTGTGTCTGCTCTCTCTAGGCACCCCAAATATTATCTTCTCATCATATGGAGGGCCTGCTGAGTTTGCCCCAGGCATGGGCTTTGCTGAAGCTGCTGGTAAGTTTCCATTTTCTAAAAATGTGGTGTTTGCATTTGGGGCTAGTGGTCTACCTGAATACACCTGTGTTCAGAGCAAATTGTTTTCAAATATAGCAGTCAGAACACAATGTTGATTTGAGTCTTTCTGATTCTCTTTCTCATATTATTTAGTAAAATTACTTTCTGTAATTAAAAATATATGCTGAGGTAGTTTATCATTTAATAAGGAAAAAATTAAATGCCATAGTAAAGATTACCAGCAAGAGAAGAAACTAAGCGTCTGTTTTTCTAAGAATCAGAAGACTTCAGTGACATTCAAAGCTAAAGGAGGAAGTCTCCCCTTTTCTAGCTATAAAATGAGAAATATAGAGTCTTCTAGAATCAGTGATCTTTTGTTTTCTAGCACAGGATAAACTTTTGTGCTAAATTATTTTTCTTCTTTCTTGAGCTGCGATTTATGTCTCCTTTTGTTTGGGTCTGTTGGTGTAGCTGAGTATTTCTTAATCTCTGGAGTGGAGGTGCTTTCTTCTTTATTGCTCAGATGCTAGGAATAACTAAATTCCTTAAAAGCATTTTTTTAATTGAATATTGATGTTTTTGCCAAACATAATCTGCTTTTGTCTTCTAAGATGTCTTTTCCACTTTGAAATGTCAAGTGATACTATTAATAACCTTCCAGGTGTTTCGGTTCCGGGTATTCCTGGAGCATTTGGTTCTCTCACAGTCACCGCACCTGGACAGATGATGACTCCTGGTGTTTTTGGTGTTCCAGGAAATTCTGTTTTACTAGTCAGCAACCTCAACCCTGAAGTAAGTTTCATTGGTGGCACTGACGCAAGTATCAACTTGTATCAACTGCGAGAATCCTTCTTGCAAATTGACATTAGCTGAAGGAATGAGAGAGGAAATCTCTATGCTGATAATATAAAAAACAGGACGGCTCTATTCTTGTTTGAGATAGATAGCTTGCAATATTGATGAGGTTTAAAAACTCCAGTCAGCAGTGAAAAGCTTCCTAAAACAATTTACTTTAGGAAACCTATGTTAGCAGTGTAGCTAGTAATTAGAGAAAAGTCTATGGTCAGATGTGAGAAATGTTTGAAGAGGTAAACAACATATATTAAGACTAAACTTACTGGTATCTCTGTCAGTGACTCCTCTGTGTGCTACTTTATCACTAGAGAAGCCAAAGAATTTTTCATTTCTTACAAATCATGAGGAGTTAGAGAAACAGGAGGGAAGAGAAGAGGAGATAAAAGCATGCCAAATCAAGTACAGTTCAAAGAAAGATAGGATCTTTCTAGTTTTGCAACTTTTCCCAGGTTGGAGAGGAAAAACACAGGTGCACTTTGCTCTTGACATCACTGTAAATCCATTTTTAAAAGTTAATAAATACTTGTTCACTTTTCATAGTACCACACAGATTTTTTTCATGTGCTGGCAGTAAAATTGCCAAGGACAACTTGGATAGTTATTTTTGTACTGGAAATTACATAGACTGTTCTATAAGCTTACTCCTGTTACTCAAATATTACACATTGATCTGTGCTTAATTAAAAGCAATATACATCTCTTATAAAAATCAAGCTTTACCAAGGCCATGGGTTAAAACACAATTCTACTTGACTGTTGATACACAGTTCTACTACAGTCATGTAAAATTCTTGTTTTACGCACTCATTAGATTCACTCCACCATAAAACTGATAAAATTAGGAGTTATTGGCAAAATGGAAGTTATCTTCATATTACTGAGATTTAAAAATCTGTTGACCAGTTAATTAATCTTTAAGTAATTGCTGTGTTTCTGTTTTTGTACCAATAGCTGAATTCCATAGTAAGCATCAAAAGAAACAGCTGCAGTTTAGGACTCTAAGACAAGTCACTTTTTCTTTGATTTGTCAATATATCTTATCAGTTAATTCCTGATGACTGCTGTGGATGTGCTTTGTGCGACTGATTATTCAAGATGATTCTCTGAGTCTTAAAAGAGAGTGTTTTTTAAGAATAGGCATATGTGAACCATAGGTCAAAGCTATTTTTAGGACATTGCTGCTTTACTTAAATACTAATCATATCTAAGAAGTTGTCATGTAGAACTTTGTGCTGCAGTGCATGGTACAACATAAATGTATTAAATAATGCTCAACTTCTAAAAAGGTAAAAAATAAGAATGTACAACAACATTAATTGTTGGAAATATAAATTGTTGTAAATATATTTCTTGGCAACTGTGTAACACTTGTTCTTCAGTAGTGGTTGTCTGAGCCCTGTCCCTTCTTTTTCTGTGTATAGAAAATCTGGTTGACCTTATTTTGATTTATATTTCAGTGTGCATTTGAACATTCCCTCTTGACTTTTAAATTAGCTGGTTTTGTCTTCCAAAGAACATTTTTTTAGTAGAAATATTGCAGTGTCATTTGGTTAAGAAATTTCTTTAAATAAACTGCTGAATTAAAACATTTGGGCCAGAAGGAAAAACTATAGAAGCATTTAAATTTTACATTGATAGTAATTGTTCCTTATTACTAAATGCTGATAAAAGATATGGGCTTACACTTAGGCTGCAGTATCTTCTGTTTTTAAATAATTTAGGTATGTTTGGTACACATTTCAAATGTTGTGAGTTCAGAAGGAATAGGGCTAGAGAGTCTGAGTAGTGCTTCTGATATCCAGGTATTTTTAGTACTCATTACTGGCAAAACCTTTGCCTCAGTTGAATAAGATTTGGCTGCATTAAGTTGTAAATTATATTCTTTGATACTTGGGGATCTTGGTACACAAGGATTTAATAAAAAATCACTGAAGAAAAATTATTTCTTTCAATATGTAGCTTTCTGTTCACAGCTTCTAATTGAATTTAAATTATTAATTTAAATTCAATTTAAATACAACTTTCTATATGCTTCATATATAAACAGTTAAACGTTATGTGTATCACTTTAGCATGTTATGGTCATGTACAGAAATGGGGACAAAACTGAAGACAAAGCAAACACATTTTGAAGCAACTGGTTTTAGGTTTGTAGGTGTTGTCTGCTGTTTAGAAAATACAAAGGAGTTCTTGAATGCGCTTTTCTGTTTCTAGTTTAGCAAATGTTTTTTATTTTTCAGAGAATGAACTGCCAGCCTGGAAAGACTTAAGTTCAAATAATTAAGCCACTTAAAATATTAATAACTTCTTTGGCATGACAGACTGGGTCTTGACTGATGAAAATGCATGAGCTGAAGTGTTAGCTTGTTTAAATATTTTATATGTGCATAGCAAATATATATTAACAAGAGCACTAAACACTGTAGTTACTGCAGAGAATGGCTTTTGGAGAGACAGGTTTATGTATTCGTGTGCAGTATCTCTTCCATTCTTTTTGTTTACCATGCACTTATGGAATAGATTTCTTTATTTGCATGGTTTTAAAAATAATATACTCATTTTATCATTTAAACAGGCCATCACACCATATGGACTTTTCATCCTGTTTGGTAAGATATGTCTAATATACCTTGAGAAACTACATGGCTAGCATTCTTTTTATTTGTCTGACACATGCTGGTTAATGCAAGCTCCATTGTTCTGTCCTTGTCCAGAAAACACAAAAGAGAATTTGCTGGTTTCAAAATGACAATCATTTGAGTCAGTAGTTGTAGGCCACAGGTACCAAAAAGGCAAAATGGTTACGGTGTCAAAAGATTTTCAGTGTGTGGTCCAATTTGTTTACTACAAAGAATGGGAAGGCAGAGTAAGATGAAAAAACAAAGATTGCATCAGAGGAAATGGAGTACAGAATTGGCACGTATGTTAGTTGCAGAGGACAGTGTTTGTTGTCATAGTAGTATTTTTACATGCCTCTGTTAAGAGGACTTTAACACTGTTGGACTATTTAAAAGCTGAACATAAACATGCAGTTTTATGACTAAGATCCTGGGCTTTTTCCCCTCAGAAAATAATACACAAACTTTAAAGCTCTCTTTCATACTAATATTCTAACCAACCTGTTTAATGAGTTGATAATTCTTTGTAATACTAATGTTAGTCAAAAGAAACAGACTTGCCTTTGTGCTGTTTGTAGTAATGTGCTGGACAAATTTCCTTTCTGGATTTCCACAGGTGTGTATGGTGATGTGCATCGTGTGAAGATCATGTTTAACAAAAAAGAAAATGCTTTGATTCAGATGGCAGATGCATTCCAGGCTCAATTAGGTACTGGTTTTTAAGGCACAGTTATGCTTCAGACTAGCATGAGTGTGATATAGGTGAGGAATTTGCCATCTGTCAGTGACAAGCATAAACAAATTAAATCCATCATTGTGATGCTTTACTACTACATACAAACCCTTCCTTGTATATGTTGATTATGATCTGTTTGCTTTCATGTAAACAAATTATTTTTCTATAGTGATTTAAAAAAATCCTGTGAATCTCAATACAGTAAATGTTAGAATTAAAACATCATACAATTTTCCTGTAGTTTATCTTAATAATACATCATGCAATTTTCCTGTAGTTTATCCTGTATCTAGCTATTTAAGAATAATCAACTGCTCTTTATTGAAATGCTGTTTTGCATTTTTATTTCATTTAGACTGGAGGTTGTATTACATCCTTATACTTGTTTTAAATATAATGTTATGACATGGCCCACCTGGTGACATGGAAGTTGCAGTTTACATTTAGAATGTGAAATCTGACACTAAATAGAAGACAATATTAGTATTCAAAGAATCCTTTTTTTTTTTTTTCCCCCCTCTCCCTTCGTTCCTGTTCAAATTTTATTTCCACTTGTTAGCTATCAGCTACTTGAATGGACTGACGCTTTATGGAAAGGTCCTCCACGCTAGTCTTTCAAAATATCAGGCAGTTCAACTTCCTCATGAGGGACAACAGGACCAAGGTCTAACAAAGGACTACAGCAACAGCCCTTTACATCGCTTTAAGAAGCCTGGCTCTAAGAACTTCCAAAACATCTTTCCTCCATCTGCCACCCTGCATCTCTCCAACATCCCGTGAGTATCTACATGTGTGATCTTCTTGGAAAGATGTTTTTTAGGTTATGTTCTTAAGTTACAAAGTCTGACATAAGCTTTAAATTACCTTGGCCTTTTACAGTTTCCTGAGAATTTGGGTCATTCTGCTGTGTAATTAACAATAAGTGAATCCTTTAACTGTCACTTTTTTATTGCTAGCAAAGAGGATAACTGATTGAATGCTCTTCTTTATGAGTTTTAAACCAGTTTACATTTTCTTGAGAATATGTTTTTGTTTTTCACATATTAAGTCCTGTATTATAAATTTTTGCAAAGATTAAAGACATGGTTTTGAAGATAATGTACTGGAGTTACTTTATCAAATTCATCACTGGCCTTGAATGTAGATACAGTTTTTAATAATTCTAACACTTTTTAAAGAATGGTTTTTACAGAATTCAGACCCCTTACATAGAGGAGAAGTTTTTTTCAAAAAAAACCGCATCAAGGAGTGTGTTCTTTAAAACTGAAACAACCTTTTTTCCTATCTAGAATGTTGTCAACAATGTGTGGAGTGACAGCCAAACATAAGTTTTTTACAGGCTTCTTTTGTTCGGCAGCTGTGCAGGGAGGGAAAAGGGAAAACTATGGAATTTTGTCCAAATAAGAAAAAAAAAAAAAAAAAAAGACACCTAGAAAATGGCTTTTTGAGTTAAATAGAAGACTTTCCAAATTTGAAAATATGTGAAGCACACTCCCAGTAATTACAAGATGAAAGGTATTTCTGAAGGTACAGGTTAAGATCATAAGTGATTTTTATGCAATCTGAATTTAACTGAGAGAATAATGGAGGAGGATGAAAAGCAGTAGAGTATGTCTGAAACATTTTTGTAGCACACTGTGGTGCTAAATCTTAGTGTCAAAGACAAGATGTTTGGTCTAAAGTGTTGACACGGCTTGAGTTGGTGAAGATAGTTTTTGCTGTTCAAATTTAATTTAGAATCAGAATTGTGATTTTGATACTGTCACAGAATGCTGTGCTCTTTTACAACTTGAGGGGGTTTTGGTTTGGTTTTGTTTGTTTGTTTTTTTAAATAGGCCTTCTGTTACTGTTGATGATCTGAAGAACCTTTTTGCCAGTACAGGATCTACTGTGAAAGCCTTCAGATTTTTCCAGTAAGTTCTCTTGTAAAAATGCTGAGCAAGCTTCCACCCTGGAAGATGGCCAATTGCTTTTTTGGGAAATTCCATGTGTGTATAACTGTAGGCAAAGTTCCATGTGCGTGTATCTATAGGCAAAAGCTGTACAGCTATGACAATTTTTATGATAATTCTAATCTTAAAATTTTAAATGGGATACTATATTAGCATAACTAAATGAAAAATATTCGGCCTTTTAACAAATTCCGTGTGTATTCAAAGTAAGATAAGTTTAAGGAAAGTAAATACTTGCGTCTTTAAAAAGAAATACAAGATGTGTGTATATAAAATGTCATGTAAAAGGTGACAATGAATCTGCTCTAATATTCATTAAGGTTGTTTGGCAGCATTATTTCAGCATGATCATACCTGCTAGAATAATCTCATATATATGGACAACACAAGTGTTTCTTGGAGGTCTTCAAGCCTTATTTCGACCCTGTTTTTTGAAGTGCAGTGTAATGGAAGAATGATACAGCTGTAGGCCACTGATCTGCAAAATTTGTATAGTTTTCTAATCTCCTCATTTTAGCAGGTGCATAACTAGTTCTGATTCTTTCACTGTACAAGTGTTAAGTGTGTGTGATGTGGCTGAAAAAATACTTGTGTCACCTTTTTGTGTCGGCTAGTGCAATGAAAATTTGGTTAGGATTAATAATGATTTTTATTGTACTTCAGACACAATTACAAAATGGCTCTTATCCAGCTGGGCTCTGTGGAAGAAGCAGTTCAAGCTCTCATTGCGCTTCACAATCATGACTTTGGAGAAAACCATCACCTCCGAGTTTCTTTCACAAAATCTACAATCTGACTTTTCTGTGAACTTTCCTTTAAGACTGCATCACAGTTTTAGTAAAATCTTCAAACAGGGACTGAAACAGGTGTGACCAGCTCTGTCTCTCAAAAGAAAAAGCTCATTCATACACAAAGAATTAAGTAATGATCTTTCCTGAGTTTAGCTGCCAGTATGTGATCAAAGTTTAATATTAATCCATAGAAAGATGATTCTGTGAAATTGCTTTAGCAACAATATGTATCATCAAATTTTCTACTTAAAATTATACTTAGAGAACATCCTTTTACCTTTTGTCCAAAATCAGCCTTACAAAACATTTGAGTGCTTTTACAATATACCAAACAAATAATATTTCTAACAAAATGGCGAATCTACTCTATACAGATTGAACACTAATTTGAATGTGAAATAGTGCTTGGGTTTCTTGAAGAAAAGCAAGCACTGACTGGGATTGTCCTCTAAATAGTATTTATGTTACCAGGGTTTTTTTTGAAAACAATAAGTCTGTGCTGTTCATATGGGTTAAATTATTAGAGAAAAGGCAGTGCCTTCTCTGTGGCGTAAAAGATATTTGAGAAGTTTCTTCAAGATGTGGTATCAGAGACGTAGCTTGACTTAAGCATGGAATGGAAGTTTGATGTCTTATTTTTACTATGAAGTGATGTGTAATAGTATTTTGGAGAAAATAAGACAAGAAAATAGTCCTGATTTCAAAGAATTTTTTACATTTCTTTAAAGCATAAAAATGTTTACAGTCTTAGGGAAAATATTCAGGACTATGATAGTTTGACAAGTTTTTAAGAAGTTATTTTTGTTAAAGTCATTTGGGGGCAGAAAAATTAAACCTCAAGAGTTTTTTCTACCACTATAATGTCTAATTCCTAAATTACTATGTATTTACTTGATTTCTTATTATGTGCCTTACTATGTGCTTATGATACAATAGCTTAGAGTTTTTTCTAAAGTGTCTTGAAAAAAATATTGTGGCCTTTATGAAAATTCTCTTCTTTGTCTTTTTGGTAATGTTTCCCTTAATACTTTTAATCTTTTTTTTAAATTAAGTAATACTCTGAATTCTAATCTCTTCTGCTTTAGTATAGAGATTGGATAGAGGTGGGAATGAGGTTTAATTCATTGCATAATCATGTAGGGATTCTTTGAATTTACCTTGTTGCAGTTGTCTGATACCAGTACTTGGCTGAAAAAAATTTCACACCCAGAGAAGTGCGCTAAAAAAAAACTATATAGAGACACCAAACAGCAAATTCACTGCAGTTTCTGGACTTCATCTAACTTTGAGAGACATTGGGTGTATCAGAATATTCTCTTTTGGGTTCCTGCATTTTTCTCTCAGTATTGAACTTGAAGTAATAATGAGCTATCGTTCTTTCCTTTGTAAGAATGCAAAAATGTTCGATACTGAATGTCTGTTTCTCTTTGGAGAATGAGCTGAGATGCAGTTAGTTTTGGTGTTGAAAGTACATACGAACTTCAGTGACTTCTGACTGTATTTTTAAAAGTTAAATTTCTTTTTAAGATATTTTTCTTTCCAGTATTTACTTAACCACCTTTTAAAGAGGTAGTCCTCTCAAACATAATATGTATTTACTTCTAAGTACTGCAGAATTTTTTTCTTCTGTAATATTTTGGCACTCATTCTCTTTTTTTTTTTTTCCCAGTAGGCTGTATGACTAATTTCTATCTTTCTAGAGGGCGCATGTTTCCACCATGATTTGGGTATTCTGGAGTAAGCTTTTTCAAATGTTCTCTCTGAAATATTTTTGCAAAATCAGCAGGGTACTAGCTTGCCTTCTTTTCTTGTGTGTAAATTAATTAGAGTTACAGCAGCCAATCATAGTAAAGATGGTGCCAAACGTCCTATACTGCAACAAAAGGGTGCTATGTGACAGTAGACAGAATGCTGACTAAATACGTATGTAGCTATAATAAGTGCTGTACAACACAAAGAAATAAATATTCAGAATGTACTATTTACTGGAAAGTTAAATGGCTTAGTAATAACAAACAATGTTATCTCTCGGATTTGAGGTAGTGTTTCCATTTTCCCCTTTCTGAAATAGCTAATTCAGTTCAGTGAAGTTTGAAACTAAGTAATTGTGTGGTGCCAGAGCACCATATTAACAAGGGACACATGAATGATTTTAGCAAAGTGCAGTTGTAAGCAGGCATGTTCATTTGCACAAGTCCTTTTCTACTAGATACTTAATACTGTCTGTGTTTTGCTTTGTTAGCAGTCACACTGATATCAGTTAAAGAGAATCTTGCTGGACTGGGAATGTTGCTTGTTTACTGCACATAAATTGCTTTTATAATGCTAGTCCATATGAAAAATGCTTTGTCACTTTTCTTAAGAATTACAGCTACAGAGGAGAGGAATCATACTAGATCTGAATGTAACTCTAAAGCAGAAAAAAAAGAACCTTAAATTTGAAAGCTAACATTGGCACATATAGCAGAAAATGGGAAAGCTTAATCAAACATAAAGGGATGAGGGCCTCTGACATTCTTTCAAAACCAGAAAGGAATAATTTCTTGGCTTTAACTTAATGTTGAGAGTAGAGCTAATGTCAGCTTTGGACTGTTTGCAGTTTGAAATGTAGAGGTCTACAGTTTAAGTTACCAGAGACTCACAATTTTTTAATTTAAGAAAAATCTAGGTGGTGGATGTTTGCTTTTTGGTTTTGTATATACGTTTATCATTTATCTTTTTATAATTCTCCATTGTTGTTGTTCTGTTTCTGCAGTTCAATTATTCTTGTCAACTTACTTTTAAATTTTTGTATATCTTAAAGATGCTGCCTCTTAGGGAGATCTGCTTTTACAGGAAGTGCAGACAAGCTTTAAAACTAACAGTACATCTTAATGTTTGCTTAGCAGAATGAAGGCCCTAGTTAAGGCTAGTTTATCTCATTCAGTATTCTGCCTTGAATAATTAAAAGCAAAACTATAGTCCCTTTTTTATCATAAAGCATTGTCAGTGAAGGATCAGGACAAAATGAATAATTCTTATACTTTGTGCTTGACTTGTTAGTTAGTGCCAAAGCACAGTTGCATCTCAGCTCTTGATTCTCTAAAGCATATATGAGCAGACCCCTTGATATCTGTGAGAAGAGCAGGATTTGGGAAAGAATACGATTATTCTACAGATTCTTACAGTGATACAAGCTGGAAAGCAGCCTCTGGAGGCCTTAATCCTACCTCCCACTCAGATTAGGGCCAACTTCGAGCAGTTGCTCAGAGAATTGTCCAGTTAAGTTTTCAGTATTTCTAAGAATGGAGATTTCACAAGTTCATAATATCTTTAATATAGATTCTTAATTCTGTTTAAATTATTTGTGAAGTACCTGGTAATGTGCACAGTGTAACTTATATTCTAAAACACTAGTGGTTATACCCTGACTACAGGTGCTGGAAATGGTTGAGGGTAGAGTTCTCTGCCTATGTATATGTCAAGTCCACAAAACAGCTGTGGATTACCTCTAGCTCTGTTTTTTTGGGGTGGATGCATACTTGGTTCAAAGTGTACTAAGGTCTTTTTAACAACCCAGGAGCAGCTTAGTGCCTTTTCAAATGACCTGTGATTTGATGCATAATAGTAAAACTTTTGCTTTGAATTTCTTCAAATGTCTTTGAACATGAGAACAAATTTATGCAACTTTGATTCATAATTTGACTTGGTTGCCTTGTCAGCTGGTCCTGTCAATTGCACTTTTTTTGTGCACTGATACATTGAGGTCCTTTTTATGCCTGAGATATTCCACATACCTGAGATTTGCCTTTATATGACATTTTCTGATTACAGATGGCAAACCTGTGTTTGTATGCTGAGAAAACTATTTGCCTCTCTTTATAATACTGCCAGTGTGGTTTGTGTGATCAAATATCTTGCCCTCCTCCGATTCATGTCAGTAGGAGAGTCGTGAGTTTTGGTGTTTTGGTTTTTTTTTATAAGGGATGTGGACCTACTACTTGGCATTGTATACCATTAGGTCATACTGCTGTTTTTCAAATTAGAGGTCACTTGCTTACAAAAAGCATTGGTTTACCTTTACCTTTTGCCCTGGTATGTTGTTAACTAGAGCAGGACTACCAGACTTAGTGTTGTTACCATTGTGCTGAAAGGATTGTGTACTGGTCAGATTGCACAGAATTTTTTCTTCAGATTAGCTTTATCTTTTAACTGTCTTCTGATGATTTATTTGCTATATACAAGGCTGTTTGCCTGCTCTTTTCAAAGCAAATTCTAACAGTGAGGAATTGTGAATTATTTCAAAAAAGAATGGAAAAATTTGGAGGTATTTAACTTCAGGGTTTTATTGAGGGGAGGATGGGGGGCAGGAACAAAATTGGACCAAAGTTTATGTGCCTTCAGTAGTTTTACATGTAGGGTTTTTTCATATCTGTTGCTGTCTTAAGTATAATAAATAAATTTTTCCCCTGGATATTGTATATTTATATTGTTAAGAATGAATGTTGTCCACTGACTATACAAGAAGTGAATTATAGCTGTTTCAATACAGATTTAATTATTTCTCTGCTTTTACCATTGCAGCTTTTTTCTTTTGTACTGCAATATGCAGGAATCCAAGCATAACCTGCATATTTCTAACTTTGAATAGTAATAACATATTGTGCCTGGAGCAGTCCCAAAGAAAAAAAATGCTGACGTAGTTGAAGGTCTGTTGATAGATCTAGAAAGCTTTTATCTTAGCGCACTAATGTCATCACTGTAAGCAGTTCTTCAGTTCTTGGAAACTGTGCATTATTTATGAGTAGGAAGCTACCACCCTTGTACTTAGTTAATTTAAAGCACTTTCCAATTCTTTTTGATATGTTATCCAATTTCTGCAAATGTTCATCCTCAAACTGCAGCAGCACAAGACAAAGGTTGCTAACCAAGCAGATTCTTGCATCAGAACGTCACCTCACTCTCTGACCAAAGACTGACTGTTCTGGTTTTACTGAGGCATTTTGTGGAAAACCTGTTTTTCTCATGCTCCTTTCTGATGGGAAGACCCAATGCAAAGTGGCCTTTACTTGAGACCACTGTTGGTGGATGAAACACAGTGGAAAATGAGATCGTAATGTGAACCAAATGGTGCAAGATAATGCAAAAGGTTAATGGACTACTTTTAGTGCTGTATTCAAGACACACAATGCATAGCTAAGAATTGCTGACATTGCCTCGTTTTACACGATCTGTTCAAAAAAGTTCCCTTTC